ACAGCATATAAGGCTGAAGTAGATGCAAAAAGATAGAGAGAGATAAATAGACAGATACCTGATAACGTACAAAAAAGATGATTTTGAAGTCGAACAACATTAATGGTAATAAATCTTTTAATTCTAAGATTACTTACAGATAAAAATATTTATCATAGCAAATTGAGCCGAAGAATTAAGTGAAAAATCAAACCAAAAAAAGCGCTGTTCTTTTTCTTTCTTCCTTCCTCTTCCCCTTCGCTTACCCCCCTTTCTTCCCACAACTCTTCCACAATACGTTTCATTAAAAATCTTTAAAAATTGCTATATCTTAATTAAAAAAAAAAAAAAAAACATTTTTTTTTTCTGAAAAATCCTTTCTGACAACACAGATGACAAAAAAAAGCGTAATAAAAAACATTTAAAAAAATTTTTTTTTACCCTTTTAACAAAAAAATTTTTTCTTTTTATTTACTTTTATTTTGCATCAACAAAGTTTAAAAGTTGAAAAAAATTTTTTTCAAAAAATACATATATATATTCGTAGACATTTATATATATATATATATGGTTATGTCCATTTGGTTCCTGTTTCGTTAGTTAACAATGTACAACCCGCAATCCTACCCCATTCCTCAACCGAAGCAACACAGCAACGGTAGCGGTGGCTCCAACAGACAGATGAACCAACAACCTCAACAAAACTGTATCAGGTGGAAGCAACATCTTTTATATATATGTAAGTTGTGTATGACTGTTGCTGTTGCTGCCGCCGCTGCTGATCAAAAAAAGATGAGAAACCTAAGTAAACGGCAATAGAGGAAAAGGGAACAGATAAGAAGAAAAGAAGAAGAGTCATGGGAATTAAAATTACAGGAAAATTCAAAGATAAAACTGTAAAATTCAATTACAAAAAAGAAAAAAAAAATGAAAATAAAAGATGAGAAAAGAAAGAGGACAAAATTCAGTTGTATAAAGAAAAAAAATAAATAAATAAAAGAATAAAAGTTATAAGTAAAACAATAAGCGTGATAAGAAAACGAAAGACAAAAAAGTAATAAGAAAAAAAGAAATACCAACTTTGACTGTTTTCACTGTCGTCCATATTCATTCAGGTAGGTTTAGCAAATAACATAGGACAACAACACAAATGTGAATTGTCAGAAGGAAAAATATAAAAAAATACCACTATTATTATTACTTCTGTTATTATTAGTAATGTTATTCTTCCTCTCTCTTTTCTTCTTCTTTTAATTATATTATTATTATGATTATTACAATTAATTATTGGTTACATTAGTTGTTTTCAGTTGACTGAAATCAGATTCTGGAAGAAACTGAATCTTGTATACTTAATGCCTATGCGAGTCTGTGTATGACACAGAATGGGCTGTAGTACAGAGACACTGACAGAGGGAACGAGGGGAAGGGGAGGGATCTATGGCTCAAGACAGCGACGATAGCGAGACGGCTGTAAGGAGAGAGTGTGCGTCCTACACTCGCAACACTGCCGTGTGCCGGGCCTTAACTCTTGATGGCCGCTAAGCTCCGCCCATTGGGCCACACACAGCGAATGCTTCGCCACAGAGTTTGGAACAGAAGACGTTAAGTGTGTGCCTATCTGTTTTAGCTGTTATTGCTGCTCCCGCTGACGACCATGGTGGCACAGATGCAGCCGATACAGATGCAATTGCAGATTCTGCTGCTGTTTTCCCAGTGTACAGATGCAGACCTTGCTGTTCAACATCATTACTGCTCTTTGTCAGTTGTATAGAACTGACCTCACACCGAGAACTACTACTGGGGGTAAACCCCATTTACTTTGACGTATAAATTTTCTTTTCTAAACTCTTCTTTTTCAAAAAAAAAAAAAAAAAAAAAAAAAAAAAAA